ATAATTGATAAAAGCAATCATCATGCTAAAAAGTACGTAAAAGAACCGATTAGCTGTAGCCTGCTGTTACTTTTGACTACAGGTTTCCAGTAACGCAGAGGAAAATGAACTAAATTACTTGATATTATAACTTTATCTAGATGAATTTATAATTTCTTTTCTTGGCACTGCCCTTGTAGCTAGATATCTATGATGTTCAATGCTCTGTATATATGTAACAAATAGTACTCTCTTTTTTTCCAGAATAAATTGTTTCTTAGATTAGAGGGACAGTCTTAAAACACAGTATCAGCTCTCCTAACCTGGCAACTACCAAGGGTCAAAAATAGAGGTATTTGTTTCTCATCGAGTTCCAAAGAACAGCATTTACGCAGTGAGGAGCACATCAGTGGGGAGTTCAGACCACTCTGACGCCCCATAAGCAGATCGGTGCAGCAGAGCCATAACCATTTGATCTGCAGATCCTGAATTCCAGCACCAAAGCACCGACCATGAGCAGAAACTAGAGACTCCTTAGGGAAACAGTCTTTCTGCTTCTAGCACTCGGAGATTTGCAACACAAATTGTCTCATGGCAGTTAGAAAACAAAATAAAATTCAGCATTTTTGTATAGCTTAAATCTACATGCCACTTCTTACCATGTTATCTAGTGAGCAAGCGTGGACTGAATAGGTTAGTAAAACATTAAGCTAGCTTAGTTTATTTTTATAATGCTTATTTTCTTTTTTAATTGCCAAAGTGGGATCCTCAAATACAGTTTCTCAACAGACATATGTGTTTCCTCAGCTGGGTTGATATCAAGCTATTAAAAAATAGATACAAACGTGGGGATGTTCTCTCTTTTGGGAAAACATAGAAGTAAATCCAGACTTGAAAACAATGATCCAAGTTGCTATTAATTAAAAACTACATAGAAGACAACAAAGTTGTACACAGAAGGCAGAGCAATCAGCATGTTTTAGGTCCAGTTACACAGCAGCAGACCAACAGTTATTTTACCAAGAGCTGAGACTGAACTACTTTAGACTTTTTTTTTTTCCTTTTTATATCCCAGAAAGGTTTTCTTTAGAGTAAAGTCAGCAAGCTAGCTGCACGGCTCTCAGTTCATTATTAACTACCCTCTCAGCAATTTCCAGAAGGCATGCATGAGTTAATAAAAATTCTACAGAAAATTGGTGTTTCAGAGCTCTGTCCTGTCCTCACTGATTCTATTCAATGAAGCGCCCTTCCATTTTTCTTATGTTCACAATGCTCCTGTTCATTAATCCATTTAGAACTGCTTCTAAACTCTTTGATTAATGATTTAAAACATTACTTTGTGAAAGCAGAAATAGACACTAAGATTACAATCAGGTTTTTAACTTCGTGTGCAGGCATAATTTATCAGATTGTAAAGATAAAAAAAATCCAAAGTCTACACTGTCCAGCATTTCCAAAGCCTTAGTATCTTAATGGATGAAAGTTTTTGGTTTCTTTTTCCTATTAGTGGCAAGGAAAAAAAAAAAAATCTTTCAAGATGGGTAGGGGGTGAGAAAGTCCCTGTACTGTCGAAGTCAGCTTAATGAGATGATCCATTTAAGTTACATTACGATTTCCCAAGAAGTTACCTGCAAAAAGAGCAAGGGAAGCTTCACATTCTGTTCCTCAGAACCAAAAAGAGAAAAATGAATGTATTGTACCTGATGCTTTCTTCCCTCCCTTATTTCTGATTCACAGCTTCACTGGTCTATAATGAAAGGAAAAAAAGAGATGTCTGAAGTTGCCTGCATTCACTGACTATCCAACTTAAAGAATAAAATTTCAGACTGTGCAGCCCTATCCCTTCCACTTCATCTTAATCAGAAGATGTACTGGAAAGACATAGCTACTTGAGATCTGCAGGCTTTCAGAGAATAGAAAACAAACTGCTACAGAAGAGAGAAGTGGAGTGTGTGACTAGGAAAAAAAAAAAAAAAAAAAAAAGAATGGCAACAGGACTTATGCTCTTCTTCTTCATGTTTCAACTTCTTCCCTACATATTCACAGCAGAGTTTAATAAAAACCAGTACAAGTTTAAAATCCCATTGGACTAACTTCTTATATGTTTCAAATTAAAAGACACAGTTGAAAGCAGCTTTTACAGGCACCCTCCGTAAACTCATATAATTTCTGTTGCACTATTTTCCTAGTGATCATGAGATCAAAAAAAAAAAAAAAGTCATTAGATCTTTATTTCCTTCCTCAAAACATTCCTACCCTCCATTCTCCACACTTCTCTCCATACAAAGACAGTAGGTCAGTTGCCACAGTGCTACTCCAAAAATGAAAGCAAAGGTTCAATTCCCTTCTCTGCCTGTATGACCTTGACCTTGACTCACCCAGCAGCACATCGCTGCTGTGGTGGTACTGAATTAATTCTGGAGGCTCGACAGTGCAGAGCGGGCTCAGGAAGCAGCCGAGACACTGGACTGCACTGGATTCTCAGGAAACCACCCTGGGCTGCCACTTCACGGTGATCAGCAAAGGACAGTGTGGGGAAATACGTAATTAACTTCTTCCTTTTAGAACTGTTGTATCAAGAATTAACTTTGTGTGGAAAAAAAATGTCTCTTGTGAGAGTCTGTGAGAAGCTGGGCTTAGTCATAGCCCCTTTTTACCTCCAAATCAAATAAAGCTATGGAGGAGAGAAAGTGATGGGGAGAAATGACAGAAACTCCTTCTCCTCCTTGAAACCAGTAATGCTGGGGCTAAGGTCAAGATACCACACTGGTTTTTGGTAAGTGCTTTGCCTGATCAGGTTATCTGAAGGATGTGGGGAAGAGGCATTTTCAGATGCCTCTTCAGGAAAGTCAGATAAACCTGGTCTGTTTCATACTAACCAGCACCAAGATCATGGCATAAAAAGACTAAAGAGGAGGGCAACAGTTAAAGTTAGAATGAGGTAAGATTAAATTTCGATGACCAATACTGTGGAACAGATACTGCGAATTCTGGATTTCTCTCAAAATTCTAATTCTTAAACAAAACCAGAGAATAACGCAAGTAAAAAAAAGAAAAAAGATTCCTTTTAGAGCAGAATTCTGTTCTTTTCCACTGAGCAACTGAGACTTCTTGTTGCTAAGGAGGAATGAAAAACACAAAAGGGTAATTAATTTACTAGCTTATATGGCCTAGCCTATTCTCCAGGAAGAATGAAGCATATGGAAGACTTTGATAGTAAAGTCTAAGACTTACAGTTTTCCAAAACCCTTCCAGACAGCTGACATCATGGCAAACATCTGCCCAGCAGGCATACAAGGGAACTGATGGCAAACTGAGGTCTTCTTAAGATGACAATTCAGAATATTTCCTTAGCCAAAGAATGATAAAAGATCATACAGAGTAGCAGACACACGCAAACAAATAAAATGGTTGAACCATGAATTCACATGGAAGGTGTTTCATGCTATTCACAAGTTACATGAAGCTAAGATTTTAAGGCTTTTGCACTACTGATAAAAAAGCCTAGTAATTGCAAATAGTTGCAGTATGCATTTTTTTTTCAACAAAAGCTGACAGCGTACAATGACAAGAATCGAAACAGACTGTGTATGCCAAAACTTGTCTTCCCTCTTTCTGGGCACTTTTCTGCTCTTTAATGTTTCAGCGTGGAGCCATTTAGAATTGGCAATTACAGCAATTATCAGAAAAAATATAGAAGGAAAAGTATAAAACAGAATAAGCATGTCAAGTTTACACTCACTTTCTTCTCCTGGAGTGGACAAGCCCATTTCAAGAAAAGCTACCAAATTTTCTGTTGGTGCACTACCTTATGACGCATGTTCAGTTTCTCCTAAATGACGTCACAGGACAAGGATTCAAAGCCTTCCAAAAAGTATAACAAGATGAGGTTGAAAAAGCCTCAGGATACTGACACAAGAAACATTTTAAACAACTCAACTCCTGAACTATTCCTCATTTAACAGCGCTTGTCATACAAGTCAAGACTATTTACTTTTCCCATATATTTTAAATAAGGATTTTCTGCAGTTGATATCAACTTCTAAATGAGGTAATTTAATACTGTAAATGTACTGAACTTACAGATCATGACCTGAGAAATTTATTCCATGACATTCCTTACTTTGATGTCTAAATAGTCTTTACTATATGCAGAAAAAACTCCACAGTATTACTTCTTGGCTGCCAAAGTAGACTCAGATAAAGGAAAAAGTATAATAGTATTCTCCTGTATAATCTTAAGGAAAATAGTTAACTTGCTTTATTGCAAACTTACTAGTCTTACTAAGAATGCTTTCATTAGGCCACAGATCACTAATTGCATGTCCAAATCAAGATTTTAAAAAACGTTCTGAAGAACAAAGATTAGAATCTTGATATACTCAGCGTACCAAAACCTCAACCATCTACCCGATCCATCATAGTTAGAAAGTCATACCTAGCTTGTGAACAAACTAAATCACCAAAGTATAAAGCACCAAGCACAAAGTATATGTTAAGTCTACATGATCTTTACATTCACACCATCCTTGGACCTTTGGTAAGTTTCATTCTTTATGAAGAATGATAAATAACAGCCACCCAAGTGTAGTTTATGTTCTTTGTTTTCGGGTGTCAAACCCTATCCAACATCACACAAACCACGCTCCTAGCCTTGGCAGTTCATATCAACTATGTCTCATGTATCATTTTACTCAAGTAAGCACAATTTTAGTAGTCACAGTTGCAGGAAGTATTAAGAGGTAGAAAACAAATGCTTTACACTATGTAGATTTATGTTCACATGGTATTAGGCTCTAATGATTTAGAATCCAGGATATTACACAGCTAATAGAATTTAAGTTTAGAAATACAGACCATTTGTTTTCAAGGTATCAGATCTCTCTCGCCCTCAGCATAGAATAAATATTTTCAGGATGAATATCCTCCACTATTGGACTGATGAGATAAATCAAGCCAATGACAAAAGTAACATAGAAGCAAAAAGACATTATTTATTACAATTAATAAAATGTCCACAGGTAACTCAAGACCTGTAATTAAGATGTATGCAGTGTTTTATGTATTTTGCTGTATTTTCTGAAGAAGAAACTCCACTTGTAAGTTTAGATTTGGCTGTCCTTTTTTTGTCTTCTTACTCAATATTTTATAAGCTTCCATTTTCTTTTGCTTGTACAACCGTTGAGCTGCTTCTCTTTGTTGTTTTCTTTTTTCTGCTTCCTGGAATTAGAGATACGATGATGAAATAATTACATACTTTCTATAACTATGAAGCTAACTATAAGCAATAAAATTTGTTTTTGTAAAGACACTGGTAATTAGATATTGTACTGACGCTGGAAACACCATCACTGAACATCTTAATCAGGATTAGGATTATCTCTAGGATACTGGCCACATCTGCATGGGACTGGCAGATCAGACATGGGACAAATCTGGAGCTGGAAGTCGGGCAAGTCTGTGATACTAGGACAGCATCGCAAGCAGCATTACCCAGGGCAACTTAATCAGGACCAAAGTACTAGTGACCCACCCTCTTTGAAGCAACACAGACTGCTGTCTTCACCGAGAGAGCAAAAAAACCAACCTAACTAAATTTTCAATGGTACAAACTTTCTGTGTTGAGGGGACAGCACACATGCAACCAAAACACTAATAGAGGCATTTACATTATGTGGGTAATCATCATGATATTATGTTCCGTTTCTATCAAGCAGCTTACACCCCTTTGTGTTGTAATTTGTGTTGTAATTTTAGTAAGTAATTTGGGCAAACATCCACTTATATCACATCCTACTAAGATATGCAAGACATCACAAATCAGACTAAAGGACCGCTTCAGTTCATTTGGATTTCTCCTCATAAAGCTTATTCTTTGAAATGCAGTGCCACACTGACCACAAAAGCAGATGTTTCTGCAGAATGCTCAAACAGATGATAATTTATCAATTATGTTATTGTTTTCCATGACACAGCTAGCTTCTAGGATGTACAAAATTAGTGAGAATGCTCTGTGATGCAGAATATAAAATTAACCAGAAATGACCCAAGAAAATACTTCTAAATAGAAATCTAAGAGGCTTCTGGGGGGAAAAAGACCAAACAAACCAGCAAGTATAACATCTCTCCATTCAGAATGCTTCAAGTATTTTACCGTAACAATGATTCATATCATTCATTCATTTTCTTTTTTTCTTTTGTTAAACCAGAGTAGCATCGACTAACTCACCTATAATTTACTTCCCATCTAATTAATAGTTTTACTACTGTTCGGCATACTGTTGTAAACAACACTCATTTAAGTTACCAAGCAAATGCTTACTCAGAGCAAGAATATTCATCTTACTTAGGCAGTTGTTACTTAGGTTACTTATGTTCGTATTTTTTCTGATCTCTACTAAATCTTAGCTTTTTTATATAGTAGGGAGGCCAAAACTGTCTTTAAGCTTATTTCTTTTCCCAAAATAAGTTAACAGCAAATCCAGTGTTTCCTAACTTATGTGAAGGTAAAGTACCCGATCATCACACCAGAATTCCACATAAATTATTACTGTTATTGTGGCACTTAACTACTGATTTTTTTGCCTAAATATCTTGAGTAAGACCAAAAACACTAACACCTCCCCTCAGGCAACTCTTGCGTGCTGCTCAAAGAAAATTCCTTGCAGCATTGCTGGATTTTTGTTCCTATTTCCTCTAAATAAGCTGGTCATAGTATTAATTTATTTTAGCATGATCTGTATCTAATATTCAAAAAAGAAGCTCTCAGCTGAACAACGATGTAATTCGCCCAGAATCATGGATCAGCTTGCATAAAACTACTCTAGCTTGCAATACAACTAAGCTGAAGAAATATGTTTTATCCAGCTATGTATTTATGTAATATTTATTCAGCAGTTACTGAAATTTAGTTTGTGAGCAGCAAGTTACATAACTTCTACAATACAATGTGTGCCATTTTACAGTGCAATGAACAACGTACTGGGAGAGAACAAAACTAATTAAATAAGGATGTCTCAAATTAATAACTCAACTAAGGTATTCGACAATGACAGTATTAAGATACGCCCTGTCCCATTAAAGTAGAATGAGGGAAAAAGTTACTAAAGATTTTGGTCATGGATACAATTACATTTAATTGTTTCACTGTTGGCCAAAGCACATAAAAAGGTAAAATGAAGACTGCATTATAATTATAACAACATCATAAGAAACAGGATGGGTATTTCATTTTCCATCACAAGATGATGGTACTGTTATTACTTCCCCTTCTACAATATTTAAGAGGTCTAGTACAATCCATCAAGCACTAAGCTTTTCTTCATGTACCAACTGACATAATAAAATCCCACTAACGGCAACTGCGAGACAAAAACAGTAAGAACAAAGACAATAACTTTGCACACCTGCATGCCCGAATATTACTGTCAAGTTGAAAAAGGCTGAAAGAATACCAATAACTATTTTCCTCTCCTATGGTCCTATATAGGTCCAGATGGAAAACTGACAGGTAGGAATGCAATTAATCTAGTCTTTGTCTACAATCAAGACAGTTCTGTGCTTAAGATTTACCTCTTTCTTTCTAGCACGCTCAGCCTTTATTTTCTCATAGTCTTCTTTTGCCTTCTGATTGGATGTTTTCTTCTTAAACTTCCTTTCAGTCGTGACTGACCTATGAGAAAAAGCACATGTACTTCAGAGACAGACTATCACCAAACAGACATAACCATACATCCCAGAGCCACTGCAGAATCAGAGTATAGTCTTCCACTCTTCCACTGGCTTTTGCATACTTGGGGAAGTTAATTAGAAATACAGATTTACAGATTACGTAAGTGACAAGCAAAGCTCATCCTTCTACACTGAATGGATACACATTTGCACTACTCTTACATGACACCCAACACCACTACATGTCATGTAGTGAGCATCCAGCTTGAAAACACAGCAAACTAAACTCCTCCAATGCTGAGTGTGCTGAAGATTGGACTGCACAGAACTTTTAATAACACATATACCTTACATGCTGGATCTTCACATGGATGGTGTTTCACTGAGTTTAGAGGGTGCCTAAAAGAGAGGTTTTTTTCCCATCCTACTAGCTCTTCAGAGCTAGAAAAAGTGAATGCACAAGCTTAGAGCTGCATTACCTCTTTCTAGTTCTGACATACAGATGCAACTGCAGAGATATGAGGACAGCCAGCTGTTAGCCAACTGCCTGCCAGAGAAGTCAGGCTGACATGGCAAGGTGAAAAAACACAGTAGTAACAAGGCTTTTCTAAAATTTTTTTCTTGAAGGAGATGTTCCTTAACGATCTGAAATTAGGTACTGAATTTTTCTTCCCAATTTCATTACAAAAAACTGCCCAGGTATCTTTCAAAGACAACCTGTGCCATTTGTCTGGCATTTACACTACTTTGAGTGGATTTTTCTGGTTGTTTAGGTCTAATTTTTTTTTTTTCTGATTTACAATAAAGCCATTACATAAACAGCAACATTTCACACTTTTAAAACATATGCTTTGCTAGACAGTTAACAGCTGTTCACAAAATAAGTTTTTGATTAATCTATCACTCAATTTTTTCTAGCATCAGAACTAGCCATTGCCATCAAGAACATTTCAGACAGATGATCAAAGAGGAAAGTGAGGGTATTTACTCATATCTTAATTTAGAAATACCACACTCTTCAGGAAAAAAAACCCAAACCTTTGCTTTATTCACATCTCCATCTTGTGGCAATACCGTGTAATGACACCTCATCTTCTCAGAAGTAAGAAACTACTTAAATTGCAATATATGCTAACCTAACCAAAGTCTTTATTTTACATTCACACAGAACACTGAAGTCTACCTAGCAGACTCTACACATCACCCCACCTCACAGATTAGCAGTCACACTTTACAGAATTATTAGTTCTGGTTTACAGTCACAATGACCATAGTTTAAGCAGAATTAAAAAAAGCTCTGGTTTAAAAACAAACAGTCCTATTTCAGACATCCCCACGAATTAGCTGCCTATTCCAGACAAAACTCTACCTTTCTCCCACTGCTGGGCTTAGATCTGACTGCCTTTTACCCCTCTCCCTAAGCATTCTTCCCGGGAAAGTTCAGGTGTAGATACACCTTGTCCTGGGGACAAAAAGGCTTTATCTCAATCACCGTACTTTAATGTCATTTAAAAACACCGCCATGACCCTGTTAGACCTGAGCGACTACTGCTTTTCCTTTTAATGACATACCTAACCAAGATTTCAGGGGGAATTACTGTCTGTCACACAGGGAGAAAATGGTTTAAATTGTCTGACATTTGTTAGACCACAAATTAAAAACTCCATTTGATTATTCCCAGTTATAAGTAAATTTAAAATAAAACAAAAAACAAAAAAACACCAATGGCAAACTATTATGACATCTCTATTATTTAAAATTATTGCTTTGATCAAGAACACTTTATTGCCTTAAGGTCTTACTAAATCCTTCATTTCATTTTTTTTTTACAGTTCATACCTAACCCCCCCCAAAAACTAGCCACACCACAAAAGGATAATTGCACATAATACCACTCATTCTATCAGAAAAACAGTGCAATATCAGGAAGACAACTTATCAGACTGGGAACAGGAAGATAATGCAAAAAAACTTCCTGAAAAGTGCCATTAATTTAAAAATACTGAGAATCAATTCAAAGGAAAACTCTGTACACTCAAAACCACACTACCTGAAATGCAGGCTGTTCTCTTTGTAGGCATGGTAAGAAATTGGCTAAACGCTTACTGGTCTTGGGCTGAACCTTATCCTTACAGTACAATGGTGACTGTCATATTATTACTGGGGAATCAAGCCCTAAATATCCTCAATTTTGCTTTCTGATTCTGATTCAAAGCTGTATGTTTAAATTTTCTAACACTTAACCTAACTGCATTTTTTTAGCAAAGCAAATACTTTATATGGACTTCAAAAGGGTAGTAAGATCTAAAATATTTCTTTAATGACGGAAACAATTACTTGGTTTTAGAGACATATTTCAAAAACTTACTCTGCTGCTTCATTAAGTTTTTCTTCTGATAAAACTGCATCTTCTGGAGACCTCCGTCGCTTCTTAAGCCTTTCTTCCTTAAGCCTTTCTTCCTCAGCTAAATAAAGATGTTTCAAGTGCTCTGGATAAGTATCCGTAAACTGATTATCCTGCTGTGAATGGACTTTTCTTCCTTTTTTCAACAATCTCCTGTATTGTCTTTCGATCTTTTGTTTTCTCTGAAATGCAAATCCTCGTCCTGAAAACATAAGAAAAAGGTTTAAATACACCTTTGCTGAAGTACTACCACACCATTCAATTGTTGCCAGGACCACTTCAATCCATTTTCTTTCCAAAACAGAAAAAAAACCCCAACCCTATCTGTGTTAATTTTAATAAGGACCAGTCAAAAATTCAAGGAAAAAACACTGTTATAAATCCGCTTCCTACTCGCATCGCAGCTTGTACAGACTTACTACAAATTATCACCTAAGCCCTAAAGAGAATATGCCACTGCAAACACACTCCTTAATGCACACTCAACTTTATACACCTTTGTCGATGCTTTCAAATCCAGTGAAAAGATGTATTAAGATTTCACTTCTCTGCTAACTTTGACAGCTTCATAAGCAACATCAGAATAGATTCCAAAATAGATTCAGAATCACAAGGGTTGGAAGGGACCTCGGGAGATCATCTAGTCCAACCCCCCTGCTAAAGCAGGGTCACCTACAGCATGTTACACAGGACTTCATCCAGGCTAGCTTTGAATATCTCCACAGAAGGAGACTCCACAACCCCCCAGGCAGCCTGGTGCTCCGTCACCCTCAGAGTAAAGAAGTTTTTCCTCATATTCAACTGAAACCTCTTATGCTTCACTTTGTGCCCATTGCCCCTTGCCCTGTCGCTGGGCACCACTGAGAAGAGTCTGGCTCCGTCCTTGTGACTTCCAACCTTAAGATATTTATATGTGTTGATGAGGTCCCCTCTCAGTCTTCTCTTCTTCAGGCTAAACAAGCCCAGCTCTCTCAGCCTTTCCTCATAGGGGAGATGCTCCAGTCCCTTTATCATCCTAGTTGCTCTCCTCTGGACTCTTTCTAGGAGTTCCTCATCTTTCTTGAACTGGGGAGCCCAGAACAGGACTCAGTCCTCCAGGTGGGGTCTCACCAGGGCAGAGTAGAGGGGGAGGAGAACCTCCCTCGACCTGCTGCCCACACTCCTCTTAATGCACCCCAGGATACCATTGGCCTTCTTGGTAACAAGGGCACATGGCTGGCTCATGGTCAGCTTGTCGTCCACCAGGACTCCCAGGTCCCTCTCGGCAGAGCTGCTTTCCAGCAGGTCAGCCCCCAGCCTGTACTGGTGCATGGAGTTCGACCTCTCCAGGTGCAGCACTCAGCACTTGCCCTTGTTGAACTTCATCAGGTTCCTCTCCACCCAACTCTCCAGCCTGTCAGGTCCCACTGAAGATAGTCTCAAGACAATCATAATAGTAATACTGTCTATTTAAGTAGCCTGAAGCTGCAATGCCACAGGGAAAAAAGTCACTAAATCACTGTATTGTACTATATTAACATTCTGTTTTATCTTTTTGCACAAATAGTATTTTTATAGTTACTACTTTCTTTCTAACACCTGTCCAGGAAGAGCTTTTCTACAGCTTCAAAAGTATGCTACATCATGGAATGATTTAGCCTTAGATGAAGCATCAGATAATGGTTGTTTCAGTCTCACATAGTATATAACCACTTACCAATCTTATGCCCAATGTGGCTTTTTTTCCTCATATGTTGATATGTTGGGGTTTTTTATTGCATTAGTCTTAAAAGCTACTGACTTTGATAATATTCATTAGCAAAATAGTTTCTAAAGGCAGCAAGTCCAAATCAGACCCAACTCTTCCTTTGATTCGTTCTCCAAAGTTGACATTTCAGAAAAGTACTGTAAAAGCCGATGCTCTTTTTCCCACCAGTTTATTTTCACACTTGCATACCTCCCTGTCAGTAGACTGAACCTATTTCCAAGTACTCTTCCATTATGAGCACACAGCTTCACGGAAAACTGAAAGCCAGTCCTAAACCAGAACCATCGCCACCCGGACCCACC